TTTTCTTTTCTTCCCGATACGTGATAGAAAAAAAATTAATATTATTTTCGAAATCTGCACAGCTGAATTATGGAAAATCTGTTATTAAAACCAAAACAATTTTTATGAAATTTAAATTCGAAGACCTGTGTTATCATAGAAAACCTAGACCAAATGAAAACGTTTTTATCAGACTAATTTTTATTTCATTTAGAGTACGCAAACTTAGTTGAAGCTCGTTCATTTGAAAGGTTTTTACTTATTTTTAAGTTATATTTTTATAAGGCTTGTTACACCTTGATATATTATAGTTATGACTGAAAGGTCTTTTTAAATAACATCTTATTTACATGTATTTAAATCTCTGTAACTACTTGAATCTTCATTTTTACTTACTTTCTTAGCAATGGGGCTAGAAGTCTCGCCCTGTTACTATTTGAATTTATGCGAATGTATGCTAATATATTCCATTCTCTCATAAATATCCAGGAAATGTGATTATTATACATTCATAAAGTTCAATAATCTATGAACGATGTGTAGCTATAAGGTCAAAAAAAAGACTACAATATTAGAGCTATATTATCCCATTCAAACGAATGACTCAGAGCAAGAGATAGACTGCGTTGAACCCATGACTCATTAAAACTCAGAGAGATGCTTCATTTACGAGTGCTCTTGTGTAAACATGCCATGCTGTAATTCAAAAAAAAAATCTATTAGCTTAGAATAAATAGAATAGAATACCCTAGTTGATTTGCACCTTAAAAATAGAAAATCTGAAGACAACATACTCATCATGCTAAAACAACGATGACTGACTTTAATCTAAAATCATATTAAGGAAAGTTTATTTGGCTCAAATGTGATGTTCCATTTTAAGAAACCCTATTCCTTTATTTTCACTTTCACAGATATATTTATCCTACAAGCGTATGTGTATGTATATGCGGCTGTGGGTTGTTCCAAAGAAAACGAAAGCAGCTAGATCTATGGATGATTCACATTATGTATCATTAATCTGTTCATAAGCTATAACATAAAAAACCTTTATAAAATTATCTGGATTTTTTTTTCTGAATAGAATACTAATAGTGATGACTTTTTGAATCAGGTTTTTGTTTTATAATATATATATTAATCGACAGGCTTGTTGCTGGCATGAAAAAAGAGAATTTGCTCGAAACTTTGCCAAGTAAATAAATTGCTAGCATATTTTAAAAATGAGATTTTCTCTAAAAGTCTAATATATATATATATATATATAGTATTAGTTCGTGGACGAAAGCTGAG